CCTCCCCCCCGTCCCCCCCGTCAGTCCTCCTCAGCCTCCCTGCCTCCCCCCTGATGTGTGGCCCCAGTGTCCTTGTCCATAGCTCATACATTGTTATGTCCATTGTCTCATTATGGGATGGATTGGTCTGACTGTGGTCACATGACACATGAAATCAGTGTTAATAGTTGTTCAAATGTGAGACAAAAAATATGTTTGACAATGTTGGACAGGAAGTGGTTTTTGACAAGAGCAGGGGTTTTCAAAATAAAAGTCGTATTTATTTTTAAAGACTTGCACATTAACAAAAACAAAAAAATAAAATATTCTTTATCAACTAATCAACTACAGCATGCAACTTCACCACTAGGTGGTGCTCAATCATACAGAGTTTAATGGAGCCCTAATGACCTTTGACCTGTGCCGAAGCTCCAGAACCAAACCAAGGTGATTGGTTAATTGTCTTTGTTGTCGCTCGGTTCACACTTCGTCCGACGGCCGAACAGAGAAGCTGTGAGTGAGGTCAAAGGTCGACGATGACAGAGGGGTGGTCAGCGGAAAGTGTGAGAAACTCTATCTGCACGCTCACATTCCCACCTGCTGACACCCCATCAATCAGACGCCGTGTACGTCTGTGGTTTAGTGTCAGGACAATGGCAGCTGAAAACAGCTGGTCTGTTGTCTGTGTCTCCCAAGTGATTAATCACAGGAGGACACAGACCATCACAGGCTCATGTGATGACGTGTCTGCCTTCCATTCCTGGAGTCAGAAGAGTTCTAGTTTTTATGTCTCTTATTTGTACGTGTGTGTGTAACACATACAGTAGTATTTACAGTAGGGGGTCTACTCTACTGTGTGTCCAGTAGGGTGTGTACTCTACTGTGTGTCCAGTAGGGGGGGTACTCTACTGTGTGTCCAGTAGGGTGTGTACTCTACTGTGTGTCCAGTAGGGGGTGTGTATTGTCTGGTGATGCCGTCTGTTTCACAGCTCAGAGGATTTGATCAGTTTTTTCCCCCTTTAATCGTGTTTCTCCTGTTTGTTTCTGTTTGTGTCGCAGCCATGTCTGATGTAGAGGAGGAATACGAGTGAGTAGATGTTTGTTTGATCAGATCCCTCCTCCTCACTGTCTCTGTTGAACTGCTAACTCTCCTCTTTCTCCCCCTCAGGGAACAGGCCGAGGGTGAGTGCAGTTTGACCGGGACCATGGTCAGAACTTACTCTTCTCACAGTGGTACCAGACTTTTCCTGCTTCTGTGTTGTTTTCCCTCCAGAGGAAGAAGAGCAGCAGGAGGAAGAAGAGAGTGAACCGGTGGTGGAGGAGGTGGAGGAGGTGGAGGAAGGTGAGCTCCCCACTTTCTTCTGTCCTACCTCACAAATAAATCTGAAAAGACCAACTCTGACTTCTGCTCTTTCCTCCTTTTCTATTGGCTGCCTGTTCTCCTCCTCTTCATCATCATCATCATCAGAGGAGGAGGAGCATGAGTATCAAGGTAACGTCTTCACTGCACTTTGACCCCAGTCATGTGATACATTTCACATTTAAATTCATTTGCGTTGAAAATGTCCGTGCTGTGGAGACCGGCCGTGTCCAGTTGAACTCTGACTCTGACGATGGTCCAGTTGAACTCTGACTCTGACGATGGTCCAGTTGAACTCTGACTCTGACGATGGTCCAGTTGAACTCTGACTCTGACGATGGTCCAGTTGAACTCTGACTCTGACGATGGTCCAGTTGAACTCTGACTCTGACGATGGTCCAGTTGAACTCTGACTCTGACGATGGTCCAGTTGAACTCTGATTTTCCCAGATTAACAAAAACAAAACCCATTTTTCTGTTTTTCCTGTGCTGTGTTGTTATGTTATGTGTATGTTAACAACATTCAGATTTGTCTTTTCACCTTCAAAGTGGAAACTTAATTGTAAATTTCTGCTCCTCTCTTTCCTGGTTCTGGTTCTGGTTCTGGTTCTGGTTCTTCACCTAAAGAGGAACGTCCCAAACCCAAGTCAGTGTTGGAAACCTGTCACAAAATGTTTTAATTGTTTTCTTTTTTTACTCATTTTTGGATATTTAAACCAAATGTCCCTTGTCATCTGTTGACCC